AATCAATTCATTGAGTTTGTGAGGGTGTCATGTTAAATGGGGTGGTAGATTAGATATTCGACAAATTTGTATCTGTCAACAAAAGAAATCTACAAATGTGGACTACTTTTTATTTCTAAGTTGGGAGGAATTAACATGCCACTCCAATTTTATACATGACACCTCCAGTCTTGGCACATTTATGAAACTGTCCCTAAAATATACCAGAGTTTTTGAAATTTTCGGTGTAGTACCGGAACTTTCATGAAAATACTGGAAATTTCATTGAGGTTCCAGTTTTTTACCGTGCCATATGAACTTAACCGAAAATTTCAAATTTCCGGTGTATTTCATCCTTATAAGAAACTAGAAATTTGAAATTTCCGATGTTTATAAAAAACCAGAAATTTCAAATTTTTGGTAGTACTGGAACTTTTTTTTAATAATTTTTTTAGCTTTTGCTTGAATAAAATACACGGTAAAATAGAGAACCAACTTAATATATAAATAGAATAAATTTCATACATATATGTATTAAAAAAACTACAATCCCTTCCTAGAAAATTCTTCCTAATGTCTGAAACGATCCGCATATGTTGATTCTCATGCTTTTGCATCATTAGAACAATTTTTCCTCCAACGAGTAGTGACGAGAGGTAGTGGACAATCGGATTTCAATTTTAGCTAAACCCAATGATTATCATTGACAAAACCAAGAGCAATGAATTTATGGCGATTCGTGTACAGGGTAGAGCTATGAGAAGTGGGAAAAATGTTATGTTAAGTATCATGGAAATGGAAACAAATATGACTCCATATTTAGAAGCAATAGGATAACCCATATCAGGAATCGTCATCCATTTATCCCTACCATGCAAACCTAAGTGTTTCACTTGTAACAAATTCCTAACAACAGAGACAATGTCATAGAACAACTTAGAAAACAAGTCAGCGTGTTGATGGACTTGAGTATCCAACTGCTCCTGAACCGAATAACATGCATCTTCCCCCTATCCAAATAAGGATAAAATGCAACATAAACCACAATTTCCATCATTGTCAACATCAATTATGTCATTGATGTATGGATGAAAGAAAGCAGGAACTATGATAAGTACTCGGCTCTTGAAGATTTGGTAGAAGGTTGCTTACCAATCGACATGGTTGACGATTGACTTCCAATTGATTTTGTGCATGATCTCTTTGTAGTCGGACTCTCCTGCAAAGCTGCATCATATTCCAACTGACTAGAATCATGACGCACATCACTCTCCTCACCCTTTCTACTTTTCTTAACTCCCCTCTTTGGCTTATATTTTAACGGCGGTGGACACATTGAAATCGTGGATAGATAAGTTAAATCAAGAACTTTTTTCTTCAACACCCTCTGACCCACAATATCCAAAGTACTGAAATATCTCTTCAACTCTTCACACTCTTCTTCTAAATCCCACTTAATCTCATCATGAGTCACATCGTGTTCTGAAATGTGCAATTTCGTCCAAAATACATGAATTGATTCTAAAGGTATATGTGTTCCTAAAATTTGGAAACCGGCAAGATAACAATCACATGGTAACCCATGTGTTGTTCTAATGTAACAACCACATCTCTTCTTGCTTGCACCAATAAATTTTACTCTTTCTAGTTCCTTTCTAATGAGTTGTATACATTATCTTGAGACAAAATTATGCAATTTAGAATAAAAAGGAGTGTTATACTGATGCTCAGTGTTGACAATACTTTTCTGAAACGACACTCTGATATAACCTAATTGCAACTTAAACATTATGTTCACATCATCCCAACTTCGACATAAATCACCATAACTTGTAGTCAACAAGTTCTTTAGTCTTCAATATGTAGACTCTACCCTAAAAATCATGAACATATTATCTGAACAACTTTTAAATTAATATCTAAACATAAACATATTTTCTGCTAGTCTAATGTACCTGTTTATTATTGTGTTTCCTAAATAAGCGACTCTCTTAATCTATGCAGCAACAAATCTTGAAATGGTTGAAATGTAGAGCCCATATGAAGTTCTCCTCCCTTTCATATATTTCAAATAGGCAAAAATTACTCCTAAGGGGTCCAAGCTACTAATATTTTTAAGAGATGTACGTTTACGTATTCTGTTTCCAAATGATCCAATAATAAGAGTAATATAAACTCTTTCAGTTGGAGAAAGATTTTCAACGTGGGACTCCTTAATTATGCAGATTTTCTTCATCACCTTCTCTCTCATTTTTTAAACCACCATCATTATCTCACCACCACTTTCCATCACATTCGATGTATCTCATACTCCATTATCCAAACTACCATAAACATCACAAAACACCATACAAATACAACCTCAACATAACTCACCTGCATATATAAACATGCGATAATATGTACCCTTCACAAACAATCTCGGGAATAAAGTCCAGCAAATTGAAATTAGAAAACTGATGCAGGCTGGCGTGCAGGATTTGACTCAGCATGTTTATAAATAATTTGTCACAAATATAATCCCACAACGAGTTTCGGTTGAAAAATATCAATGTTTATATAATAATTAATCATGAATCAATGATTTGAAAACAAGGCCTAACACGGATCATGGACCATGGAGTCCCAAAACTATTGGGTTTAAGCCCTAAATTAGAATTTTAATAATTAATTTAAAAATATAATTACGAAAACGTAAAAAAAATAAATATAAAAAAGTTTTTAAAAAAAATATAAAATTAGAAAATAAAAAAAATTTAAGGAATTCCACCTAACATATAAAAATTTAAATTAAAAATAAAAAAATTTGTTAGACTCCAACTATGAATATTCTATTATACAATAAGAAGGGTTTTCAGATTTTTTTTTTTTTTTTTAATTTTCTCTTCTATCATAATTCATAATTAATTTATTCTTTCTCCTTCGTAGTTCATTAGCAGAATTAGACCGAATTGTAACAACAACAATATTATAATGTGATGTCTCTTTTATTTATGTGTTACTCTTGATCCAGTATGGATGCTCCCCGTGAGGATCAAACAATAGTATCAGAGCTGATGGTTTAATTAAGGGACTGACTCCTTATATCAAAAGTATTCCTGACAATGTGGTGGTCAGGCTGCATGTCTTGTTGTAGTGTCTGTCATGACGTGACGGTACAAGTGTGTGTGGATGAAAGAGCATTTGCTTGAGGGAGAGCATGGACTCACACTTGAGGGAGAGATTGTTGTGTACAAGTGTGAGTTGTTAGTCTCACATTACTTGAAAAATGGAGGTATACCACTTTATAAGTGAGAGAACTCACACACTATCACCTTAAGGTTTTGAGTGAATATGTGATGTCTCTTTCACTTGTATATTACTTTTGACTCAATGTGGATGTTCCCCGTGATGACCCAACACTTCGTCCATGCAACGACAGATCCACTAAAGTTATCCTCAATAAAACTATTAAAAGGAATAGCATAGGATCGTGTAGTCAACCCCTCAACTCTCCTCTCCTCCTACCTACGAATCACATATAAATCACCACAAACACAAATATTTTTTCCCACTCATTGCTACACTCTCTCTGACAGATGAACCCATAACGGTTGTTTAGCCTCATTCTCACACGGCATACACATTAAAAAGAGAAATTCCTCATTATTAAAAAGGAACTACCTATGAATCTTCAACACATGATCAAAACTACTTATTGAAAAAATTTAAAGGAAATCTCAAATTTCATATTAATTAGATATAGAGTTTGAAAATTATTTATATATAGTGATACTTATCACCTTATAAATCAATTTTATAAGATTGAGTTAAACTAGACTCTGACTTTAATACGACATTAGAGTTTGTCTGTTAGACCATGGACTATTTTACCCTTGATAATTTAATTTTTTTCTTCAACTTTTTTTAATTTTCTACTTATAAATATATTATACTTAAGAACAAACTAATCTTCGTTAAAAAAAATATGGATTTGTTTGTTTTGATTTTATTTTTAAAATGATTATTATAGTATTACATAAGTTTGTGTTAAAAAATTTATAAAACAACTTTTCATAAAAGCTTCAAATAAAAATTTAGTTTGAACAGTTATTATTAAATTGTTATTTTAGGTATTTCATCATTTTATTAAAACTTTTTTTGAATGACAAAATTTCAAAAAATCACTTAGTTTTGAAGATATTTAAAATAGTTTTTCATAAAAAATCATTTTTTGAAATACATATTTTTAAAATGTGTGATATTGATTTTTTAAAAAATTTACAAAACAACTTTTCATAAAAGCTTCAAATAAAAATTTAGTTGAACAATTATTATTTTAGACATTTCATCATTTTATTAAAGAAAATTTTGAATAACAAAATTTCTAAACATCACTTAATTTTGAAGATATTTAAAATAGTTTTTCATAAAAAATCATTTTTTGAAATACATCTTTTTAATATATATTTATATTATAGGATGTCAAAATTCGTCTTAATTTAGAAAAAATAAACATAAAAAACTTATAATACTTTGAAAAACAGTTTTATGATATCCATTTTTAAAAATACAAAAAAAAAAAATATTTTTTAAAAGTAAAACAAACATATATTATCCGTTCTCTATCAATTTTTTTTGATATGCATGAATTTGAAATTAAATATTTCTAATCAACCAAATACATATTTGTATCTAAATCAATATTTTAAAAATGGATTAGAGGCAAACCGACCTTTAATTTAAAGTTTAATTGATTCAATCAATTAAATTAATGATCAAATTGTCTATTTATCAAATAAAAAAAGTAAATTAATTAATAATAGAAAAAAGAGTTGGATGTCCGTAGTAACAAAAGATGTCATATAAAATATCAAAATCTTTAAAATGACGTGTTGTGTTGACTTTGCCCCCATGATTGAAATACTAACCTTGGTGAAAAACTCAATATTCTACCACAAGCATAAAAAAATATACTATATAAAGTTTCTTGAATTTAAAATAGTTTATGGAAATCCAAAAATCAAAACATATAAAATCAATCAACACATCTCTTCAAGCAGGCATTGAAGAACATTCACCTGCATTTCCAAACATCTTATATAACTTTCTACTTCACAAACAACTTGTTCATCACAAATCTCTTCACCACCAGGTATCAACTTTATCAAATTCTTCATCTTTTCCTCCTCTTCATTATCTTCATTACTCTCATTACCCTCATTACCCTTAACATGATCCTTTTGAAGCTTGAGTTTAAGACCATTACTCCATGCACAACCTTGTGCTGATAAAACCATTGCCATATCCACTTCATACTTAACATAACCGCTGTTGTTTTCTTTTGCAAAACTAGGGTTTTCCTTTATCTTCATCAATGCTGGAACTAAATAGCTTAAATATTTTCTAGCAAATATAGATTGAGCTATTTTGTTTGGTTCCATACAATAATCACGTCTACGTTTATTTTGTTCTTGTGCCTCCATTAATTTAATAAAAAATATGGAAAATTTTATGAGGGATAATAGATAGAGAAGAGAACAAAGATTTATGAGAAACCTATGATGTTTGAGAGTGGTCAATTTATTTAGATTGTCACATGGAATCACATGTTTAATGTTGCTTTTTTCACACCTATGCCATGTGATAGAAAACAAAACACACTAGAATTCAATTGAGTATAAATGCTATCACATGATTTGAACTCTTTAAGTGGTAATCTTTCACTTTGCTCTTCACAGGTCTTCCCTACTTTATGTACCTTTTCCTCTCATTTCAAATCAACCAGCTCATGTTGTTATTACTACTTTTTTCCACTCACATATTGAGTTCCCACCATAGATATCAAAGGTTCATAGTTATTGATCACAAAATCTTGAACTAATATTATACCATTTCAAATCAACCAATAAGATGACCTACTTTAAGCGTCGGTTTGGTTCTGCATTGACAAGAATTGATTCGATAAAATTGATTTTGATTAAAATAATTTAAAATAATTTATATTAGAATATATTTATGTTTTCAATTTTCAATCAAGTTGAATAGTATTTTTTTTTTCAAAATGAAAACCAAATTTAAATATAGTGTATATTTGAACAAAATTTAGATTTTTTATCTCTACTATGTGGCATATTCGATTTTCTGGCTCTATTAATAATTTATAGCATTTTTAAAAAATAATTATATTTATTTTATAATTTATTCATCAGTGTTTATTTCAAATATACCTTAAATCATCAATTAAATTTTGATGTGAAATTATAGGACTGAAAGTGCAAATTGAAATGTCCCTACTAAATTAATGTGATATGGTTACAAAGCAATGATATAAAACTTAGAGTGATTTAATTAAAGTCAAATCTTGTCGTTATTGAGAAAATTAAAAAAAAGAAAAAACAGAAAAGTTTCATGAGGTTGCTAACAAGATCTTTGTCCTTTGTTGCTAATATTTTTTTCCCATGAAAGCATCTTATCCCATTTATGTAGTAATGGTTATTCTAAAGGGGAAACAAAAAATTATAAAATCTAAAAAAGATGAGTTAAAAGAAGTTACTAGATTAGAAGACCATTTTTGGTTCCAGGGGAAAATTTGTGGGACATGTATGCATGTGCACAGTCTCAAAACTCATGTTATTTCCATGTTCCTAGCTACTCTGTCCTTTCTAAAATAATAGTTGAATTATTATGAGGTCAATAAGTATAAGGGTAATTTTGGAAAATTAATACACATTGTTGACAATTTTGGTGATGATGTTATTCTTTCAAGATCTACGTGCCTGAGGTAGAAATTAAGGCTAAGAATGTATTCACATGTAGATGACATAACCAAGTGTGTTTTGTTGTTGGGTAGGGCTATATTTGCTATGTATAAATTTAAAAACAAAATTGGAATCTATTGAATATTTAATAGGGGAGAACTAGTTCTATATAGAAAATGCATCGAGGAGTTACTCATGAGTTAAGAGTAAAATGGAAAACAAGGTCTCTAAATTGTGAAGATAAGGAGATTGAGAATAGATTTGAAACAATTGTGAAGATTTAGTCATTGTTAAGATTAAAGACTATCAATTGTATCAAAGATCTAGGTGTAAGTGGCTTAAGGAATCTGATTATAATTCTGATTTTTTCCACGCCTCAATTAAAAGTAAAGGTTGATGGAAGGCTATAGCTTTTAAGATTAGATCGAAGGGGTGTTTAAAATTGATCATGAGGTTGTTAAGTATCATCTTGATAGTGTTATTTTCTATTTTCTTTTGGAAGATAATAACCTTTCTTTGACAACACCCTCCATACCTTAAGTGTAGGGTGGTAGTCTTAGAAATATATAATTTAAGGTGATTTAGGTGTTTGATTAATAATGTAGAGATTGAAGGTGGTGGGAGTAGTAGTGGTGGTTAATATTATTTAATTAGGATGATTTGTATAAATAATAGTAATAGTTAATATTTAAATATTTAATTAAATTATTATTGTTATAGTTATATATTAAACTAAATATTGGATTTAGAATTATTAAATAAATATTTAGTTGGGATAAATACTAATAACAATAATAGTATAAAGTAAGAAAAAGATGGGAATAAAGGGACAAACTCTTACATAACGTGAAAACATATAAGAGAATAGGAAGAGCGGTAAGACATAGGAGAAGAAAGATTCTATTAGAGAAGCTTGGGTTTCATCAATCTAAGATAAGGGTAGGAGTAACTTTTGTACAAGGGATTACATGATAACATGCAGGTGGGTGTTTTGGATTCTTTATGTTTGTGTTCGTCTCTTCTATGTTTTGAATAATTTAATGTGTGATAATGTAATTGTGTTGTATTGTTGGATGATTGGTGTGTTGGTGAATGATTATGATATTGTATGTTGATGGGACTGAACTCGTGAAACTTGGATACACAATTTTTCATTAAAATTGGGGTTTTGGGGTTGTGTTGGGATTGATTTTCGTACACGGAAATTGCAGAAAATCTATTATTGTCACGGTAGTAACCGGTTATGCAATATTGGTGTAACCTGTTATGCAGTCAAGGGGTGTAATCGGTTACCTCTTTTGACGTAATTGGTTACCTTTGCGAAGAATTGAGTATCCAGTCTACTGAAAGTTGATGTAACCAATTACCTGTTTTGGTGTAATTGGTTACCGCTGCTCTTACAAGATTTAATAAAATGGTGAAGCCTAGGCTACCCCTTGTATAATTAGGGGTAATTTACCCTTAATGACCTATACCTATAAAATTTTATCATAAATTTAATTTTTAAAATTATATATTAACCCAAAACCTTAAGATATTGGGTCTATTCATTTTCTCACTTAAAAAAAGTTCAATATCTTCTTTTCCATCCAATGTGAGAATCGTTACTCACACTTGAGAGACCAACATATTACTACTCAAAAATTAGGTTATATAAAATTTTCTTGATTTCATTTTGATTCTTTAAGGTTTTAGAATTAATGTGTTTTTTAAATTTTATTTTATATGATAAAATTTGATTGATATATGTCATAAGGGATAAAATATTACCCCTATATTTACAAAGGGTAGCCAAGAATTTACCTTATAAAATTCATAAATTGAGTCTTGGGTGTCCGATTGAGGTACCGTTTAAAACATTGAGATGCAAACACAATGTACTTTCATTTAAAAATAGTTTTAGTTTCTTGAAATAATTTCAATTGCATGTCACTGATGAATCATGCATCATGATGTTTGAACGGTGGTCCGCTTTTGGTGAGCCTCAATTCTATGGTGGGGATTGGGTGCGAGTAGTTAATTCATATGGTGGGGGAATTAGTGAAGTGTTACTTATGGTGATGTTAGCAATTTTTGGTGTGCTCTGATCCTATGACGGGGATCGGGAGCAAGATGATCCTGAGAGTTCGTAATTGATACCACATGCATTGAATTATAAAGTTTGGTCTCGTTGCATTGCATATATCATTTATTATAATGTTTGGATGGTATGCATGGGGCTTGTGTAATGTAATGCTATGTTGGATTGTGTGGTGTGTGGGTTGTTTAATGGGTGATTGTGTTGATATAATCATATGCTTACATATTATTATGCATTTCATTATATAATTGTGAATATCACCTATTTTGTTTGAATGTTGCCTCCACGCGGGTAACATACAGATACTCAGGATTAAAGGTGTGGAAGTTAGTAGAAGAGGTTGTTCTTATTTATGCGTTTGTTGAGTCAGTGTCTGCTCTGATATGTAATACTGGGGGTCGATGCTTGTTTGTGTATGTTGTGAGGAAACTATATGTATTGTTGTTATAACTCATGTTTGAGAAGTAAAACTATTTATTGTCGATGTTTTTCCACTGCTAATAAAATATTGGAGTTTAGACTTGAATATGTTTTGAATTATATTTTAATTTATATATATGTGTTACATATCCTATTTTATGAGCAGGTTGTTGATTAATGTAGTCTCCTAATTGTTTATTTGTTTTAGTTTACTCTGATTTTTATTTATAAATTACACTTGGAAATTAGGGTGTGACATAGTGGTATTAGAGCAGATCGGTCCGTCCGGCCAGGTTGTCTAATGTTGTTTGTTCCTTAGTACGTGATATGTGTGTGAAACACTTTCAGTACTTACTTGTTTTTCTAACCCCTTGTTTGCAGGTGTGGGGAATGTTATAAGTGGGGGAGAAGTTTGTACTTCTTTGAGATGTTTCAGGTATGAGGAGTTGGTACAATGTACCGCTGATGGAAAAGAAAATTATGAGATCAAGTGTGTCACCTTGGAGAACTTCGACGTTGTTGGTAAAGAAGAAGGTTAGCAGTATGAGGTTGTGCGTGGACTACATACAATTGAATAAGGTGACTATTTAGAATAAATATCCACTTCTGAGAATAGATATTTGATGGACAAACTGGTACGTGCGCATGTTTTTGGAAAAATTGTCTTAAGGTCAGGTTACCATTAGAACTCAGTATGGATATTATGAATATTCAGTGATGCCGTTCGGAGTTTCCAATGCATCAGGAGTGTTTATGGAATATATGAATCGTATATTTCAGACTTATCTAGATTAGTTTGTGGTAGTTTTCATTGATGATATTTTGATCTATTCCAAGTCTAATGAAGAGCATGTTGAGCATTTACGGATTGTGTTGCAAGTGTTGAAAGAAAAGAAGTTATACACAAAGTTGTCAAAGTGTGAGTTCTGGTTGCAAGAGGTTAGTTTTCTTGGGCATGTTATTTCAGGGAATGGTGTCGTTGTGGATCCGTCCAAATTAGATGCAGTGCTACAATGGGAGGCTCCAAAGTCAGTTAATGAGATTAGAATATTTTTACGCCTGGCTGATTACTACCGTAGGTTTATTGAAGGCTTTTCTAAGTTGACACTTCCTTTAAATCAGCTGACTTGTAAAGGAAAAGCATTTGTTTGAGATGTTCATTGTGAAGAAAGTTTCAGAGAGATGAGAAACGAAGTTGACTACAACTCCAATTATGATTTATCCA